GATCCCACATTCCACGGAGCAACTAAGCCCGTGTGCCACAACTACTGAGCCTGTGCTCTAGAGCCCGCGAGCCACAAGTACTGAGCCCGTGTGCCACAACTACTGAAGACTGTGCACCTACAGCCCGTGCTCTGCAACAAGAGAAGCCACTGCAATGAGAAGCCCACGCACCGCAACGAAGAGTAGCCCCTGCTCCCTTCAACTAGAGAAAGCCCGCGCGCAGCAATGAGAACCAACACAGCCAAAATAAAAATAATAAATTTTTTAAAATAGAGAAATAAACTGGTACTAACTTGTAGAATCTCTGTGGGGAGAGAAACTTCCTTAAAAAAAAAAAAAAAGAAAGAATTGCAAAAACCATTTCCTTCCTAGCCCAGGAATTGCTTTCAGAACTATGAAAGCACACCTGAGATTCCCTCAGCTTTGCTAAGGAACATACCTACCGGCACAAATTTGAGTCAAATCATGTCTGGAAGTTTTACATTTAAAGTGGAAACATTTTCAGGATTGCTGTTTCAATCCCTCCAACAAACCTATGAGGCAGGTAACATAGATGAGAGTTTGAGACTTAGAGAGCTTATGTATTTTTCTCAGTCCCAGAGCTATTAGGTGATAAACTGGTACCGTTCATTTATTTCTACTGCAGCAATTCCCCATCACCTTTTCTAGCTGATTTCCGTGACCAGTTGCAGAGAATTTACCTGTCTCAAAAGTCTAGGACTGAATCATAGTTGTAATAGTTGCTACCAACTGAGGCTCTACTATGAGCCATGTATTTGGACAGTTACATTCACTAACTCAAACCCTCACAGCAACCCTGCAAGTAGGTGGTATTGTACTCATTTTATAGATCAGTAAGGCTAGAATCATTTAAATATAAATGATGGGGTAACGATTCAGATCTTTGCTGTGCCACCTTCCACTCCACGAGTAGGAGAGAAAGAATTCCATCAGGGGACTCTGGAAAGTCTAATGACCTTCCCAATATCACTAGACTCCTGGGGACTTCAACTCAAGGTGCTCTTACCAGGGCCAAGTCTTTAAAACTCACCCAAATCTATATGCTGTTGGCTGTGGAACATCCAGAAGGTATGGTAACTATATCAGTCTACTATGTAAAATTCCTGCCTGAGAGGGAAAACTCACTCATGTTCTGGGGAAATCCAGAATTTATTAACCTTCCACCTTGGACTACAGCACATCATGGCCATTTATGAAAAAGCAATTATTTGTATGTCTACAAAATATATCATCCTCTCCATGAGATTATAATCTCTGGGGGAGCAGAGCCCACAGGTTGTACTTTGTGTCTGCCTTGCCCACAGAGAATGTAAAGCAGATACTGCATAAATACAACCAGCCCAGTGGGTAGGCGGGTGGCTAGGTTGAATGGGCTGCAAGAAGGTTTAGGGGAGACTTCAGCTTACCCTGAGACTTCAGATAAAAAATAAAAAAGATAAAAATAAGAAAGTGGGGGGCATGGAACTACATTAAAGAGAGCCCAAGTAAGCAAGGTACAGACCATTTTAAAAGGCCAGAGAATTCAATCCCACACTCAACTCAGAAGGGATAAAGTTAGCACAGTGCAAAACAGTGTAAAAAGTAAACAGTGTAAAAGCAAGAGGATTTTTCCCCTTCAGGAGTCCGGCAAAATTGCAGCACCACAAAATATGTCTTATTCTAAGTAGCAAGTAGCAAGCAAGCAGTCCCAGGGGGTGTGACAACCCTGTTATTAAGTCAGGGCTCATAAAATACATACTCCTGTGGGGACTTTTGCCAAAGGTCTCAGAAGTCCATCTGAGCTTTTGCTTCTGGAAGGTTCCCCTCCCAGGAATATATCCATAAATTAATCATTCTAATCATCAGCCACCTCCAGGACAGGGCTTATCGTGCGGGGGTGGGGGGTGGGGTGTTAAGAACGTACTTTACATATAGAAGAAAGACCCTTCCCTCCCTAGAGCACCCAGAGAACTAAGAGGGATGGAAGCTTAACCACGAGTTTACATTGTGTTCGATTTTTAAAGAATCCTCAAGTGCAGTAAACACTTCATTCATTACCCATAGGTAACTTCGTTCTTTTACAAATTTTCCACCTCATTTGCCATCGCTGGGTGACATCCCCCCATGTCCAAAAATGGCGCAGGGTATCCTAGCACCTAACATTAGTCAGTGAGGATCCAGGGAATGCTTCTGCATTTTAATATCAGCTAAAGCAAGCATAATACAGTTAAACCTGTTATTCTCCTTCCCTCCCCCATCCCCGCTCTACACACACACACACACACACACACACACACACACACACGCACGCACCCACGCACGCGCGCGCACACACACACACACACACACACACACACACGTTCCAAAGCTAATTACATGTGATTTGGGGGTTTTTCCAGAGCTAGAGATTATCCACCTCACTGTTTCCCTAGGGTCAACTGCATTGTGACACATTTTACCATCCTGCTTAAAGAAGCAGGTCTGACATCTCATCCTGTGGCTCTTTTAGAAAAGGGAAAACAGCGGGAATTTCACACAACCGGACCTGACCCTCAGCAGCACAAATCTGGGATGTGTTAGGGATGAGAAAATAGCTCCACATCTGCATGGCGACTTCCGTTCTCCGAGCTCCGGATGGACCAGAGACTTCACTGGGGCCTCACTAGTAAACCAGGGTTCCATCCAGCCTGTCAGCCCAGGCCTCCAGGCGACTCCTCCTGACCACAGGAGGCCTCCCTGGCCTTTTGTTCTGCAGGCAGTTTGGACCACATCCCTTCAGCATTTCAGACTCCGCTGTTCCCAGCCCAAATCCGAGCTAATAATCCAATCTCCATCTGTTTCCCTGCTCTGAAAAATTTTAAATGGGAGACGCGTTGCTCTTTATTTCCTGTCTCACTCTCCCCACTGATTTTTAAACAGTTTGGCACTTCCACCCTCAGCAATGGATGCCCTTCACTGACCCACGGAGCCATAATAAGTGACCGCACAAACTCCAATCGGGGTGCTGAGCTGAACAGCGCGGTCTCCACTCAGAGTGCGGTCTAACCAGTCAAGATGCAATCTACTGCATCCGGAGGTGGATGCATTCTGACCCCTAGGGGGAGAGGGCTCCTCGTGCAACTGGCTCTATTCCCCCCTCTACCTTGTACTTTCTCCTTCCCTTGAGAATTGAGTCTCTGATGTTCTGTGCTAAGGAAAGGACAAGCACAATCCCCTGTTCCCAAAGCTGCTAATCACAAACAGCAGGGAAGATGGAGACGTCGCCCTCCACATTTGTAGGAGACAAATGTGCACACACATAGCTCCGCTCTTGTTCCTGGAAGGCAGCGTTCTTTTTTGGCTTGAATTCCCAAAGGAAGTGGCTATTTTGAACCAGCCTGGGGGATATGAAGATAGCTGACCATTCTTGTTGTCCAAAAAGAGAGAATATCCAGAAGGTGAGGGACCGTCTGTGGCTGGTTTAACTACATTCTTTAAGTTTTAGGTCGAAGTTGATTCTCTTCCCATACGATTTCCACAATGTTCCTTTTCTTTATTTTTCCATGAAAAACCATCCTCCTACACTTTCCTATTTGTGACTGTCAAGGTTTTTGTTTGTTTGTTTTGTTTATCTTTTTTTTAACATCTTTATTGGAGTATAATTGCTTTACAATGGTGTGTTAGTTTCCGCTTTATAACAAAGTGAATCAGTTATACATATACCTATGTTCCCATATCTCTTCCCTCTTGCGTCTCCCTCCCTCCCACCCTCCCTATGCCACCCCTCTAGGTGGTCACAAAGCACCGAGCTGATCTCCCTGTGCTATGCGGCTGCTTCCCACTAGCTATCTATTTTACATTTGGTAGTGTATATACGTCCATGCCTCTCTCTCACTTAGTCCCAGCTTACCCTTCCCCCTCCCCGTGTCCTCAAGTCCATTCTCTAGTAGGTCTGTGTCTTTATTGAGGATAAAAAACACAGAAGCCCCTCCAGGCATGTTATTAGTGCCCAATAAGCTGAAACTTGAAACAAAACTGTAAAATTAAGTTTTTCTCCAACACTCAACACTTCTCCCACCCCCAACAGGCACACACACTTTGCTTGCTTCTCTCACCACCTTGATACCCTCCTGAGGCTTCCTGGAAGCCCTGGGCATGGGACAGTGGCCTGCCCACCCACCCCCATCCTGCAGTTGCCTGAGCTCCAAGTTCACCCCTTCCCCCATCACTTAATCTCTCAAACTCATTCAAACAGATGTGTTAATGGACGATAATGGAAAATAACAATAACAACACTTTACAAATGTACGGAATAAAATACTGTTCAAAGCACTGAACAGTTTTCAAGGCTTTTACATTAAATCATTTCACTTGATAATGTTTCTTACATTGGCCCGTTGGTTAGATAGGACAGAAATTTTCGTCTCCGTTTTATGGAAGAGGTAATTGAGATCCTTAGCGTTTAAATGTCTGGACCAAAGTCACAGCACTGGAAGGATGAGGGTTGGGACTAGATCCTAATGCTCAGGAACCTTGTTCCCATGCTATGGCTGGACGGTTGCTCTTTCAGCCTGTGTGTCTCCTTTTGAAAAGGAACAGCTAAAGTAGGCAATGTCTTAATTGTTTCACAAGGCAGAGACACGCTAGAACCGCTGGGGGTACTTGTTCATAGTGCAGATTCCTGGGCACCACCCCAGACCTACTGAATCTGAATCTGAGAGTGGGGACTAGAAATCTATAATTTAGTTCATTTCTAGAATGATTCTTATACACACTAATGTCTGAGAACCTTTTTTTTTTAAGTCAAAGAGCTAGATTTCTAATGGTGAAATTTCAGCCTTTAGAGAAAGGTTACAGAACTATATGAGAAACTCTTTATGTTGAATGCCATTAATGCTTTCTGAGCACACATCTACTACGCTGTGGTCTGCACATCCCAGAATACCAAGACTCTGCCGAAGTACTGTTCCCCACCTTCCCCTCCACCCCAAGGCTATTCTGCCCCAACCTGGAGCACCCACCGCAATTTGGAGAGGGGGCCATGTCCTGTGCTTTTTTCTGTTTTCTGTCCTCAGTCTCCATGTTCTGTTGTGCTTGATGCTGTTAAGTATAAACTCAGAAAGGAGAAGAAAGAATAAAAGAGTATTAGGAAAACACTCTCGTCTTCCTTCCAAGAACATTTTTCTCCACCATTATGGAAGAATAATACGTTATTATCAAGGATCAAATCCCCATTGTGACTACATTTATGTAAAATTCCAAAACATCTGGATAATTGATTGACTTTTTCTCTTTTCATTTGACTGTGCAGCATTGTGTACAACCAGCCCGTGTGTTCCCCCATGGGAACTGCTGTGGATATAAATCCATCCCTCAGCTCTTTAATTAAAGTTGCAAAAACATCAAGAGGGTCTCACCCTTGTAAACACAAGGAGGCTTTCCAGGAAATAGCTCTGCCTCTTGTGTTAACAGATGTCATGGGGCAGTTGGGTGGGAGAGTGTTGTTTTAAAATTCTCAATCTGCCTTGCAAGAGTTTTTCCCTTAGATGGTTCCTGGATAGCATCACACTTTTCTCTTTTCAACTTTCACATCACCTCATGCAGCTTTTCTGCCCCTCCTCACAGCTGTGGTTTGAACGTCTGTGTCCCCACCCAAGATTCATACATTGAAATCCTATCCCGCAAGATGAATGGGAGGTGATTAGGTCAGGAGACCCCAGAGACAACACTTGCCCCTTCCACCATGTGAAGGCAAAGCAAAAAGTCCACAGTCTGCAATCTGGAAGAGGGCCTTCACCGGAACTCGACCATGCTGGCACCCTGATCTTGGACTTCCATCCTCCAGAACTGTGAAAATGAATTTCTATTGTGTATAAGCTTCCCAGTCCCAGTGCTATTTTGTTATTGCAACCAGAACAGACTAAGACACTCACCCTGAACACTTACCATGTGGACCAGAAATAACCCAAACACCAATTCCTTAGACCTCTGATGGCCATCATTTGCCATGGCTGATTTCCCTGGATTGGGCCACATTCTCATTATTTCCCTCCTGAGAGAGTGAGCAGCTCTGTAGTACCACAATACTGGATGCATCTTCCTGACTTTAAGTATCTGGGTGAAAAGTAGAAAATCTTTTCAGAAAATCATCATGGTAACAAGGTTCCAGACACCAAAACGAATTTTTTTTTTAATCCAGATTCTTTTGGGGTTATTGGTTTCAATGTCTCTTTGCATGCTGCTTTGCCAACAACAAGCAGCCTTCCAGGTAAGTGTTCTTCTGTTCCAAGAAATGATGGCAAAAAGCTACTATAAGGAAGAACTGAGTGCCTTCATCCCAGCAGGGGAGCAAGTCAGAACTAGCGGAGAGCTAGGAGAATACTTCACAGAAGCAGCAGGGTGAAGAGACAATGTACAGGAGGTTGGGGGTCAGAGATTTTGAAATCTTGAAGATAAGCAATTCTGAGTTCAGCCACCATGCAGCAATCAGTCCCAAGATATGGCTGATAAGCAACTAAAGAGAACAGAGATAAAGTTCATTGGAACTGACTCTATCAAGGAATGGAGCTGGGAGGGCAGAGATGCCTCCACCTGGATGCCAAAGTCCCTGGGATAATCAGCACTTACCAACCTGTGCTCAAATCATGGAGAACAGCTAAGATTGTCCACCAGATGTCAAATGATGAAAACAGCAAAGCAGTAAATGAGGCAGTAGGAGAGGGTTGGCCTTCCAAAGAAGTGCTATACTCAGAAGATGGTGGAACAATGGTCTAGAAGCAGAGGAGATGCAAGGGTTATGGCAGCCAACCTCATGGTTTGGACACCCACTGGGAGAAAAGTGGTGCCTCTGGGATTTCCTCACCCTCCTCCCCATTATTTCCAACCCATCCCACTCCTGTATCCTACCACCCAAGAGATTCTGCTCTCAATCCTTGCCCCTATGCTTCAGGATCCGCCTCTGTGTGCCAGCTACACAAAGACCAGAGCAGCAATCAGTCCAGAGCCCATAGCTCTGTTCAATCAGCATCCAGCAGAAGGTGAGTGGGAACATGAGTGTGACTCCATCCAAGGACAGCACCACAGGGAGGAGACAGGCCCCCAAGTGAATGCACTCTGAACCTCTCACATCTTAGAGCAAAAGTTCAGTAGCAGAGAGTCTGAGAGGTAGAGGAGGGGTGAGTTCAGAGAGAGAAATGGTGCTCATGCAAAGAGAAACCCTTGCACTCACGCTGCTCTTAGGCGTGAATGAGCCTCCAAAAGCCCAGGCTGAATGTAGCATGACTGATACCCAATGAGTTGGTATCATGGGAAGCAGAAGAAAGAGCACTGGACTGAGAGTCTGAAAACTGAATTCTAGACCTGACCACCACTAATTTCTGGTGTGACCCTAGGCAGGTCATTTAACATCTTTGGGCATTAGTTTCCTCATATGTAACAGAAAGGGGCTAGGTTGGATGATCTCTAAGGCTTCCTCTAGCTCTGACGTCCAATCACATTTGGCTCAGGGAGGAGGGAGCTGAGGGAAGCACAGAGGCCCTAGATGATAGGGTATTACTGCCAAAGTCACCCTTTCCTCTCCCTCCTGTTCTCTCACTGACATGCCCTTTATTATCTTGTTGTTGTTGATGTAGTGTTTTTCCCACAGAGCTTTGTGGGATTGGACAGCAGAGCACACACAGAGTTCAAAGGAAAGGAGAAGAGAGTGGCAGTAGGAAAGGCGGGTAAGGGCTTCTCTAGGAATTCCCAAGCCACTGCCCTCCAGGGCTGCAGGCTGAGGAGGTGGCCTTCCAGACTGGGACTCTGAGAAGGTGAAGGTCTCTCAACATTCTCACCCCCTCCACACCCTGCAACCTTCTCACCTATGTTCCTGGTTCTAGCACCAGGTCACTCATCATTGTTCTCCATCATATCCTGCTTTCTTTCCAAACTTCTCTGGGAGTCTGGCTCATTCCTGTAAAGGTCAAGGAGCTGAGCTGGTAGGATTTGTAAATCACAGTATGCTTCTGGCAACAAATGGGCTTTGCTACACAGCAAAACACGGCAAAATTTAGTAATTTAAAGCAACAATCATTTTATTTGCTCCAATTCTGTGGGTCAGCTAGATGGTTCTTCTGATCTGGGATGGCTTGTCTGTGGCTAGATGGTCTAGGATATTATATTTCTGCCCAACAGAAATATAACTAGGATATTATATTTCTGCCCAACAGAAATATAATATAAATCATGTCTATAATTTGAAATTTTCTAGGAGCCACAGTTTAAAGACTTACACAGGTGAAGTTCATTTTAATTATATATTTTAAGTTAACCCAATATAACCAAAGTATTATTATTTCAATATGTAATTAATATAAAAATTATTAATGAAATGGTTTACATTCTTTTATACAAGTCTTCAAAATCCAGTGTGCATTTTAAACTTACAGCACATCTCAATTCATACTAGCCACATTTCAAGTGCTCAAGGGCCACCGTATAGGACAGTGAAGGTCTAGAATGACCTCACTCGTGCACTGGGGTTCTATTGCTGAAAGAAACTCTTCCTCTGTCATGCAGACAAACCTGGGCTGGTCTCCTGGAGGATGAGAGGCTATGTGAAGAGAAGCTCCAGCAATTCCAGCCATTCCAGCCATCCCAACTGACACCTCAGACATGTGAGTGAGGTCTAAACTCCCACTGGCCAAAGCAAGTCACATGACCTAACCCACAGTCAGTGTGGGAGGAACATATCTGAGGGCCTGGTTACCAGGAGATAATTAGGAGGCCACTTCTTCCAAACCCCCAGGCTCCAGGGAGACATCCCACCATCACCACCAGCCTCCTCCTCTTTCCCTAGAAAATTTAAACACAGAGGAAAACACAAAAAAGCAAAATTAAAATAATTTGTAATCCTTCCTGCCACAAATAACCACAGATAAACTTGTCTCCCACAGATGCTGTTACCTTTCCACCATTTTTTCAATGCATATATACATAGTCATGTTACACTTACAATCAAATTATAATAATACTATTTTCATTTAACAAAACATCCTTAACATATTCCCATGTTATTAAATATTCTTCTAAGATGTGAATTTTAGTGGTTTAATATCACAATTTATTTAAACACTCCCTTATTGTTAAAGGACTGTTTCCCATTTTTTCATGCTTATAAATAATGAGGAAATGAACCCTCTTAGTTCATACATTTTCCATTCATTCAAGCCAATATGTGAAAAACAGATTCCTAGAAATATAGATTCTGGGTCAAAAAGTATGGCACATGTCAAAGTGTCTGATTAATTGATTCATTCATTCCATCAACAAATAGTTACCAAGCACCTCTAAGGTCCAGACACTCTTAAAGGTGCTAGGGATACAGCAGTGAGCCAAACAGATCAACATTCTCTATTCTCATGGAGGAGCTTACATTCTACTAGTGGGAGGCTTCAATAAGGAAAGAAGTATAGTCTCTACTATGTTAGAGAATAATAAATGCTATGGAGTAAAGTAGATTGGGCATAGAGGATGGGGAGGGCCAGGGTGGGGAGCCAGGCTACAAATGTGATTAAGATAGTCAGCAAAGGCCTCCCTTATGTGACATTTGCTCAAAATATATTGTTCAGTTTATTTTTTCAGGGTGTATAAGATGGGGAGGGGGCAGGACACTGGGGCAAAGTACTAAACTGGTGACTAAAAAGGTCAGAGTCCAGTTCAGCTCAATTGTAGGTCTTCCCTGGGCTATTCCATTTGCCTTAATCTGTAAAAAACTGTAGAGTTACAACTAGACCCCAGGTTGTCAAGCTGGGGATCCGTGGGGCTGGAGGCCCATGCTGTGAGTCCCACAGGGATATATACACAGTGGTAACCACATAACTGCGGGGGATAATTACAGTGAAGAAGATATTGTGGGGAGAGGGCAGACAGTAGAAGCAAGAAGAACCACAATCCTGCAGCCTGTGGAACAAAAACCACATTCACAGAAAGATACACAAGATGAAAGGGCAGAGGGCTATGTACCAGATGAAGGAAAAAGATAAAACCCAGAAAAACAACTAAATGAAGCAGAGATACGCAAGCTTCCAGAAAAAGAATTCAGAATAATGATAGTGAAGATGATCCAGGACCTTGGAAAAAGAATGGAGGCAAAGATCGAGAAGATGCAAGAAATGTTTAACAAAGACCTAGAAGAAATAAAGAAAAAACAAACAGATGAACAATAAAATTAATTGAAATGAAAACTACACTAGAAGGAATCAACAGCAGAATAACTGAAGAAGAAGAACAGATAAGTGACCTGGAAGACAGAATGGTGGAATTCACTGCTGAGGAACAGAATAAAGAAAAAAGAATGAAAAGAAATGAAGACAGCCTAAGAGACCTCTGGGACAACATTAAACACAACAACATTTGCATTATACGGGTGCCAGAAGGAGAAGAGATAGAGAAAGGACCAGAGAAAATATCTGAAGAGATTATAGTTGAAAACTTCCCTAACATGGGAAAGGAAATAGCCACCCAAGTCCAGGAAGCACAGAGAGTCCCATACAGGATAAACCAAAGAGAAACACGTCAAGACACATAGTAGGCAAATTGGCAAAATTTAAGACAAATAAAAATTATTGAAAGCATTAAGGGAAAAAAGACAAATAACATACAATGAACTCTCATAAGGTTAACAGCTGATTTCTCAGTAGAAACTCTACAAGCCAGAAGGGAGTGGCATGATATACTTAAAGTGATGAAAGAGAAGAACTTACTACCAAGATTACTCTGCCCTGCAAGGATCTCATTCAGATTCGATGGAGAAATCAAAAGCTTTACAGACAAGCAAAAGCTAAGAGAATTCAGCATCACCAAACCAGCTCTACAACAAACGCTTAAGGAACTTCTCTAAGTGGGAAACACAAGAGAAGAAAAGGACCTAAAAAAAAAAAAACCCAAAACAATTAAGAAAATGGTCATAGGAATATACATAGCAATAATTACTTTAAACGTGAATAGATTAAATGCTCCAAACAAAAGACACAGGCTTGCTGAATGGATACAAAAACAAGACCCATATATATGCTGTCTACAAGAGACCCATTTCAGACCTAGGGACACATGCAGACTGAAAGTGAGGGGATGGAAAAAGATATTCCATGCAAATGGAAATCAGAAGAAAGCTGGAGTAGCAATACTCATATCAGATAAAATAGACTTTGAAAGAAAGAATGTTACAAGAGACAAGGAAGGACACTACATAATGATCAAGGGGTCAATCCAAGAAGAAGATATAACAATTATAAATATATATGCACCCAACATAGGAGCACCTCAATACATAAGGCAACTGCTAACAGCTATAAAAGAGGAAATCAACAGTAACACAATAAGAGTTGGGGACTTTAACACCTCACTGAAACCAATGGACAGATCATCCAAAATGAAAATAAATAAGGAAACAGAAGCTTTAAATGATACAATAGACCAGATAGATTTGATATTTATAGGACATTCCATCCAAAAACAGCAGATTACACTTTCTTCTCAAGTGCGCATGGAACATTCTACAGGATAGATCACATCTTGGGTCACAAATCAAGCCTCAATAAATTTAAGAAAATTGAAATCATATCAAGCATCTTTTCTGATTACAATGCTATGAGATTAGAAATGAATCACAGGGATAAAAACGTAAAAAACACAAACACATGGAGGCTAAGCAATACGTTACTAAATAACCAAGAGATCACTGAAGAAATCAAGGAGGAATTCAAAAAATACCTAGAGACAAATGACAATGAAAACATGATGATCCAGTATCTATGGGATGCAGCAAAAGCAGTTCTAAGAGGGAAGTTTATAGCTATACAAGCCTACCTCAAGAAACAAGAAAAATCTCAAATAAACAATCTAAACTTACATCTAAATGAACTAGAGAAAGAAGAAGAAACAAAACGCAAAGTTAGCAGAAGGAAAGAAATCATAAAGATCAAGCAGAAATAAATGAAATAGAAACAAAGAAAATAATAGCAAACATCAATAAAACTAAAAGCTGTTTTTTGTTTTGTTTTGTTTGCGGTACATGGGCCTCTCACTGTTGTGGCTTCTCCCATTGCGGAGCACAGGCTCCGGACGCAACGCTCAGCGGACATGGCTCACAGGCCTAGCCACTCTGCAGCATGTGGGATCTTCCTGGACCTGGGCACGAACCCATGTCTCCTGCATCGACAGGAGGACTCTCAACCACTGCGCCACCAGGGAAGCCCAAAACTGGTTTTTTGAGAAGATAAACAAAACTAATAAACCATTAGCCACACTCATCAAGAAAAAGAGGAAGAGGACTCAAATCAATAAAATTAGAAATGAAAAAGGAGAAGTTACAACAGACACCGCAGAAATACAAAGCATCCTAAAAGACTACTACAAGCAACTCTATGCCAATAAAATGGACAACCTGGAAGAAATGGACAAATCCTTAGAAAGGTATAACCTTCCACGGCTGAACCAGGAAGAAATAGAAAATATGAACAGACCAATCACAAGTAATGATATTGAAACTGTGATTTAAAATCTTCCAACAAACAAAAGTCTAGGACCAGATGGCTTCACAGGTGAATTCTATCAAACATTTAGAGAAGACCTAACACCCATCCTTGTCAAACTCTTCCAAAAAACTGAGGGGGAAGGAACATTCCCAAACTCATTCTATGAGGCCACCATCACCCTGATACCAAAACCAGACAAAGATACTACAAAAAAAGAAAATTATAGACCAATATCACTGATGAATATAGATGCAAAAATCCTCAACAAAATACTAGCAAATAGAATCCAACAACACATTAAAAGGATCATACACCATGATCAAGTGGGATTTAATCCCAGGGATGCAAGGATTCTTCAATATATGCAAATCAATCAATTTGATAAACCATATTAACAAATTGAAGAATAAAAACCATATGATCATCTCAATAGATGAAGAAAAAGCTTTTGACAAAATTCAACACCCATTTATGATAAAAACTCTCCAGAAAGTGGGCATGGAGGGAACCTACCTCAACATAATAAAGGCCATAAATGACAAACCCACAGGAAACATCATTCTCAATGGTGAAAAACTGAAAACATTTCCTCTAAGATCAGGAACAAGACAAGGATGCCCACTGTCACCACTATTATTCAATATAGTTTTGGATGTCCTAGACATGGCAATCAGAGAAGAAAAAGAAATAAAAGGAATACAAATTGGAAAAGAAGAGGTAAAACTGTCACTGTCTGCAGATGACATGATACTATATAGAGAGAATCCTAAAGATGCCACCAGAAAACTACTAGAGTTAATCAATGAATTTGGTAAAGTTGCAGGATACAAAATTAATGCACAGAAATCTCTTGCATTCCTATACACTAATGCTGAAAAATCTGAAAGAGAAATTAAGGAAACACTCCCACTTACCATTGCAAAAAAAAGAATAAAATACCTAGGAGTAAACCTACCTAGGGAAACAAAAGAGCTGTATGCAGAAAACTATAAGACAATGCTGAAAGAAATTAAAGATGATACCAACAGATGAAGAGATATACCATACTCTTGGCTTAGAAAAATCAATATTGTGAAAATGACTATACTACCCAAAGCAATCTACAGGTTCAGTGCAATCCCTATCAAATTACCAATGGCATTTTTTACAGAACTAGAACAAAAAATCTTAAAATTTGTATGGAGACATAGAAGATCCCGAATAGCCAAAGCAGTCTTGAGGGAAAAAAAATGGAGCTGGAGGAATCAGACTCCCTGACTTCAGACTATACTACAAAGCTACAGTAATCAAGACAATATGGTAGTGGCACAAAAACAGAAACATAGAT